TTCAGGAGAGTCGCTTCCCTCTGCACACCTTTCTGCCAAATCTCAAATACCACACCCCAACTGACCGCGGGGCACGCTGCAGGCCCGGGATGCTTCGGGCGCCACCCCTTTGCACCGGGCGGCCCTCGCCGGTTCTGCTGGTTTCGACCTTGGAGGGAGTGGTCCGGTACAGGGTGAGCAGGGAGTGATCGCTGGGAGGGTCGGAAGCAGCAGGATGTTGGGAAGGCGAAGAACGCAAGAAACAGGCGATGCGAGGCGAGTGAGTTCGGGGTGGAACCCCAAACTCACTCGAGTCCATCGGTTGGGATCTCCTGCACTTGTTATCACTTGTTTTATTGGATATAGGATGATTTTGATATGTGACTCGGATCAAATTGGGCCATCTCCTCAAATAGTAATGGCGACGAACGAACATTTTTATTCACTATAATTTTCTTAGAGGTTTGTATCCTGCCGAGGGGACAGCAAAAACTATTCAGATGGGGTGGTGAGTGTTTCGTACGTTAAGATGAATATGTTTTGAAAACCGCCGATCCTGTTGATTGTACTCGCTCCCTTGAGGCTGTGTGGCCGAATTGGCTCGCGCGGCTGGGAGCCTTGGGGTTGAAGTCGACTCACCAGGTGTTCTGTGACGGGAACATGCAGGGACCTGGGACCGGGGCGGAATCCATTCCGTTTTGGTTTCTCCTGCTGGAATATCTGGAATTGCGTGGGTTTGTACAGTTTGTACCATTTGATGTGGACTGAGCTTCCAGGCGTCGAGATTCCCCGCATAGCTGAACCTGAGCATCACCACAGCTGCCGTCACCCCCGACCCTACCCCCCCCCCACCACCACCACCACCATCAAGAATAGGGGTGTGTTAGGACAATTTTTGTTGCACCATTTTGCACTCATGAATCTTCTTGAGCAGCACGATGTATATATAAAATAAAGTATATTTGTTAGATTAGAATCAGATAGAATGTCAGGATATTTGAATATAAGTCAACCTGTATGAATGTATAAGTATGCTTAGAATCAGATAGAATGTCAGGATATTTGAATATAAGTCAACCTGTATGAATGTATAAGTATGCCTTTCTTGCTTGCTTCGTGCGCATCACAGTGTCTTCTAGACATATTGAATCTTGGATCCAGGTACTACTTGGAATAAATGGTTACCTTTTTCCCCACCTGCCAGGTGAGGGTTGTTAGATTTTATCACAGTTGTTCTTCCTCCGCCTCCGCCTCCGCCGCCTCCTCGTCCTCCTCCTTCCTCCTTCCTCCTTGCTTCCTTCCTCGCCAATCTGCTTCGCCGATCTTGTCTGGCCAGCTCCGGATCGCAGTGTGCACCCCTGGACCTCAACCGCAAGGATCCGATCGCAGTGTGCACCCCTGGACCTCAACCGCAAGGATCCGATCGCCACCGCTGGACCTCAACCGCAAGGATCCGATCGCAGTGTGCACCGCTGGACCTCAACCAGATAGTTTGCCAGATAAAATGCCGGATAGAATGTCAGGTAGATTGCCAGATAGAATGCTGCAAGAAGATATGCAGATAGTATGCCAAATAGTGTGTCAGATAGATTGCTAGATACATTGCCAGATAGAATGCCAGAAAATATGCCAGATAGAATGCCAGAAGATATGCCAGATAGAATGACAGATAGTATGCCAGACAAAATGCCAGATAGTATGCCAGACAGTATGCCAGATAGTATGTCAGATAGATTGCCAGATAGAATGGCAGATTGAATGTCATGGTGGGGATCACTCGTAAGTAAAGTAATTTGCAACTGGAAGTGTTTGCAAAGGTTTGCAATGGCTGGCCGGCCCCCAAACATGTCACAATATCGATCAACATATGAAGAATGTTGCCTCACAATAGAAGCCATATTTCAATGCGTTATAGTTATTTTGTCAGGTACTGTTAGAGTATAGGATTTGGTGGCTGATTTGTTTTCAACTTAAATAGCATCATGATATTTGCAATCCTTAATCTTAAAGTGTTGATTGTGACTTCTCAAAATAATAGTGTCCCGCTTTACCTCCGCTTTACCTCCCAGTTTTTCAAAAAATGTCTAAGACAATTATGAGATTTCCCAACCACTGGGATTGTACTACACAGCTTTAGGATGTCAACACGTATGGATTGCTGATTTATGTAAAGGATTGACAGTTTGTTCGTTGAACATGAACATTGCTTTTGACATGTTGTGTTATGTTATGTGTCCTTTGCCTCAACTGTTATACTGGCATTGATTGAGTCTGTTAGATTTTGTTGTTTCACCTTGTAGTTGACAGTTGATTTTCCTTTTCATTTTTTAAGCTTGAACCTGAAAGTCAACCAAGCTTGATGTGAGGATCGCATCCTGCCTGTTGGCTTTGATAATGCAATTTGGATAAATCAATGCCCTTGTAGAACATCATCCTTCTCAGTGTACTTCAAGAAAGTCATCAATGCCTTTAACCATCCTACATTCAATGGGTTCGTCTCTGGTGTTGATGTGACAGTCTTCAGAAGCCTGAATATCAGTATAATGTGTTTTCGTTCCATACCAAGCTTTCTTTTTAGTGCCGTAGCGTCCTTGTTTAGTGTGTAGATGTGGTCATTCACAATCAATCAACATAAATATCAAACATGTTTTAATATGTTTTTTGATGGCTCATGGGAGTGCATCATTTTACAATTAGATATTCTAGCCGGTAGGTTGGTTCTAGAACACCTTATATCATTAATTTGCAATCAGTTTCACCAATGAGTTCCAGAACTTCATCTCTTGTCATCTTCTTCATCCTGCGCTCATCGCCACAAACATCATTCAATGTATTTATGGAACAGTCAACACTCATTTCTGATGTAGTGCTTTACCTTGACGGCTTCTTCCAATGTGGCAACGTTTTTCATAATTGCCATTGATAGTGTGGCATGTTTGGGGGCACGTCAGCCATTGCAAACGTTTGCAAACAGTTCCCGTGGATTTCTTTCCAAGTAGTACCTGGATGCAAGATTTAAGATCTAAGAAAGCTCTTGGATCCAGAAACTTGGACTACGAGAGACCGGATTCAAGAGCTTTCTTTAGATCTTGAACCTTGGATCTTGAGTCTTGAATCTTAGACACTGCTCTCGTTTGTAAACATTCGCAAATGGTTGGCATGTTTTTTCATGGTCGCTGACGTCTGGAACTTATTCTAAGCATGCTCTGTAGATATGTTTGTGTCTCAAAGAGTATACATATTATGTATATAGTTATGGTATCCCCGAAAAGATAGATTTAACCAAAAGAACTCAATTTTGGTAGACTTTTTGGGGTACCACACAGAGATACAGTTTCTGCATGTGTATTATGTATTGATATATATATATATTATTTCCTGTGCATTCATAAGTTTAGATACAGATATGATTCACACCCACACACGTGGCCCTGTCGCGATGTCGCGCCGCTTGCTAGGCCCCTGAAACCGTCGACCTCCGACAGCCGGGATCTCAGACAAAGCTCGAGGTTTGGTGGTCTAGGTTTGTCGATGGTTGGGTAGTTGGTTGGTAGTATGGGGTGGTTAGTTGGTGCTGGTGTTGGCATTGGGTCTCACAGACCGGGCTCTACCGGCGCTATCGTGTTTGGACATCGCCTTTGCAAAGTCATTGGGCCTTGCCACAATTAGTCGGAGTTTCTCCAGCTGGATGGTAGGATACTATCCCAAACCCTCCAGGCAAGCAAATGTGGCCGATAGATGGTCACATTCATGACATTGTAGAACATACTGCGCTCAGTGTTTTGGGCCGAGGCACCGTACTGATGGCACAGCACTGCATGCTGCGGCCGCTGGGCAGAATGAGTGGCACAATGCTTCGGCTGGCGACAGGACCTTCCACCAATTCACCCAACTATAACCTCGCCAATATTTGCCAAGCATTATTAGGTCGTTAGAAACTTTGGGCGTGTTGGAGTGAATTAATGATGCTTGAACCGATATATTTATTGATGATGATCGCAGGGTTGGGGCTCACAATCTGGTTGGAAGCCTGAGGCAGCGGGGCCTCGCACTTTTCAGATACTTTTCTGGTGCTTTGTTGGTCTACGAATGTTCAAGTGGGCACTCGCAGATGTTCTGCAAACCTCTTCTACTGCCGTATCACGTAAAAAGTGCCTACCCTATGTGATCCTATGTGAAAACATCGTTCTGCGGTCCCATACGTGTGGACTTCCATCTCAAAGGACGGGGGGGTGAACCGTCCACAGGTTCACGTCGTCCGAAAAAACGATGAGTTTGGAGTTCAAAACAGGAGGCGTAAACCACTATAAGATACATAAATATACATATATTAAAATACTCAGACCCCGCAGAAGATTATGTTTGTCCGGTGGGGTGCAATTTTGTGTAGCGACCGTGCGTGTTGTAGTGTGTGTTTTCTTCATTGCGGCGGGTGAAGGTGTGTTTTTCTTACAGTATATATATATATATATATGCTTATTTATATCTGATTGCTGTGGCCCCTTGGCAACTTGGACTTTTTTGTTCACAAGAATGTCGACTCCGGATTGATAAAACAACCCTTCCTCAAGGCCGGCTCTCTAAATCTCTTCATGTTTGGAGCTTTGAGTTATTGGAGTTTGGTTGGAGTTGTGGCCCCCCACATGGAAACAACAACTGTTCCAAAACGGGTGGCCGAACTAATTGGGGGGTTAATGGGGGTTATAGATTGCAACAAGAACTAATTTTCTGGGCCAGATTGTCTATTGAAAGGAGTCCGGTCTTAGGGCTCAAATATCGCTCTTTTAGAGAATAGTTTGAACCCCAGACGCAAACGCGTCGCTTTCGCCCGCGCTGCAATAGCTGTTTCTGGGAGCCCTCCTGGACACAGAAAGCTGCGGCTGAAGAGGCAACGAGCAAGAGCTCTGATCCACAGGGCAAAGCTTTCCCGATCTTTCCTTCTAAGGAAGCTGGACCGAATACGGGCTGCCGTTTGTTTGTTGGAGAGCCATCACTCAAAGCCGGTATACAACATCTTGAAGATGTCATGGAGGAAAGGACAGAAACAGCTGTGGACAGAGCCAGCATGGCAAGAAGAGAAGTGGGCAAAAGATGGATGGGCTCGCAAGAACCGGAAGAAGGAGGAGCCGAAGGAGAAACCCGTTTTTTACGGGTACGACGGAAAACCTGTCCATCGAGATGGTGGATCTGGGCGGCCCTCATCGCAATCTACCTCCAAACAGGAGATGAGTGTTACCGAGGAGAATACCAAGCTCAAGGCTACCATACGGTTCCTTGCCCAGAAGGTCGCAGCTACAGACGAAGTGCCAGAGGATGCGCAAGACTACCTCAAGGAAGATCCTCGGGAAGCCCTGAAAGCCCGCCAAAGAGAGCTCAATCAGGAGAGGAAAGTCCTGAATCGGACAGCCAAGCTCAAAGACGACATCCGAAAGAAAGAAGAGAAGTTCAGGACCTGGAAAGAGGACATCGAGGCCGGGGTAAAGTCAGAGACGCAACGTGTCAACTCGACACTTGCAGAGCTCCAAGAGGCTTTGAAGGCCGCAGAAAATGGGGAAGTCATCCATCTCGAAGACGACGAGTCGAAAGAACAGATCCCCGAGACAATGCGGCAAGAGGTGGAAGCCCTACGTGCTGGCTATGGACAAATGGAGTCCTATTTGTGCCAGATGGAGGCTCGAAATCAACAAATGGCTGCCCAAATGCAGACCATGATGGAAACCTTTCAGACTATGGTACTGATGAAATCGCCATCCTGATGGTCACCGCAACATCCGGTAGCCCCGACGGCAGCCCGTACAGACCCCAAGGGGAAGTCCAGGTCGCGGTCTCCTATCCGTGTGAAGACCGAGGAGATGGAGGAAGAGATCTCTTCGGCCGAGATCAAAGCCCGGCTCAGCATGGTCCCAGAGGCAGTGCAAATGTGTGCGCTCCAGCGGATGCAAGACAATCCAAGCCAGTTCAAAACCGGGCCGCAAGTAGAGGAGCTAATAGCACAAGCACTGGAAGAGTTCAAAGAGGCCCAGATAAAGCCAATTGTGGCTTTGGTGCCAGATGCAGAGACAAGCCAAGCGCTCAAGCCATTTGGGAAATCTGCTGCGTTGAAAGAATCAGAGAGAGCTGCACCTTATCCAAATGGCCTCCCGGTGGTCTCTACGCCAAGGAGGAGCGAGACTCGGCTCCATGGAATGTCTTAGATGGGATGAATTGCAGAGAAGCAGATTGCGCCCATTTTAACGGCAGCACTGCTGACTCTGCGGAGGTTGTGCAGAAGATTGGTTTTCTCGGTGATAGAGCTGCAGTACAGATGCCATTTGAAGCCTCTGAGGAATGCACTACATCAGGTGTCCGAGATGATTCATCAAGCTTTTCATTTTGTGATAGGAAGCCCTTTATCTACTTGATAGGGGATGGCCGTCACCCTACTGTGACCCTTGACCAGTTTGGGGATTGGTTGAGGGAATATAGTTTATACCTATGCGAATCTGCTGGAGACTTTTTCTCTCAGCTGCATTGTACGCCTGTGGCATGGTTCATCGATGCTCTGAATTGGGTTGTTGTTGTCCTGCGCTCAGTTCCTTTTCCACTATTGAGCATTCGATTTCTGATGCTGCAGTGCGCATTTGTTGCCTGGATGATTGCTGGAGCGAGTGGTTACATGGCTATCATTCTGTGGCTAGAATCCTATCCTATATTGGACAGAAAGAAAAGGCTGATCCCCCTTCCTGGTACTGGGAGATGTTCCAGTGTGCTATGGAGGCTTGGAATTGCTGGAGTTATCAATGCTTTTTGCCTCGAAAGTATACCAAACGGAGTTGAAGAGACTTGGGGAATCCGTTGTTTCCAACTTCTTTGGAGAGCAAATGTTGCTGGTGTCTTGACATGCCTATGTTGCATATATGTGCGACTTCGTTTCTATGATGTGGTTCGTGGCCCGAGGAGTTGTGCTTTCGTTCGAACACGTCGAATTGTGCCAGCTTCCCGCACTCGCACCAGGATTAAGTGGAAGGGTGTTTTCCTCCTAATCAACTGCTGCAGTGCCAATCTTTTGACATCACTTCAGTTACAGGGGCCTAAAGCGAGAAATAGGCATGTTGATACCGATGTACAAAGTTCTGTACATGATGAAGCACTTACCTACCAGAGTTCGTGCTCATATGAAGCAGATGACCCCTAGCTCTTCGCCTTGTGGGGGTCACTATAGCCCATCTCCTACCAAGACTAGGCTAGAAGGCTTTGTTCGAAGCTCTGGCGATTCCTGGGCTGACCGTCCTGGGTGCTTTGAGCATGGAACTGCTCTCGCTATTGATAGTGATCGAGCTAATCGGAGCTGTCCGCAATTTTGTCCACATTTTGAGGTTCATGTTGGCAGAAGTCCCATAGATCCTATAAGTGGAGATGCAAGTCGATTCGTAGATGATAATGAAGAAACAACATGCTATATGCAGGTCCATGCCAGTAGACACGATACTAATGGCAAAGCAAAAGATATGCAGGATTTTCTCTTTTGTCAGGAGGACATCATGGTCGTGTCTTGGTTTGCGCCAGTATTTCCTCGTGTTGCAAGGTCTTCACGCCAGGTGTCAATTCCGAGGCGTGAGTTCGGACACCTGGAGCAGGCCATAACCTATGCCTGGAAGGACCAGTGTACCCAGAAGTGTTGTTTCAGTTTTGTACGACCCGATCCATCATTTCTTTTTGCGCAACAAGCTTACTTCGCAGTCGTATCTCTCTGTGATTATGTCCCGAGCAGATCCGGAGTATTGGTTGCTGAAACAGATGTTGTGCAGGAGAATGATATTCGGTTTGATATTTATGCTACTGCTATCCGCAGTTTCCGTGGGGTTCCCCACCTTTTGAATGCTGGTGATAGGCAGAGGGGTAGAAGAAGTGTCTCATCTGGGGCGCACAGCAATGGGATGAATTCGGACAATGTTCGCTTAGGGGACCTTGTCCTTATCGAAATCACCCCATGGGAATCATTGGAAGACGATCACGTTGGTCTCATGCAAATTGACCGTGTTGATAGCCCACTGACCGAGTATGTTCTACATGCCTACGGTTTGGGATCATTACGAGTCTCTTCATGGGTCCACTTCTGGGATCGCAGAAGTCAATGGTCATTTCTGCACAAGGAGCTTCAGATAGGCATTACTACTTCGGTCCGAAGCCAGCTATGTTCTGCGTGGAGGGATTACCAGGTTAGGCCCAATGTCCGCATCATGCCAGTTAGACCGGTTCCAACCCATGGTCCCGCCTTTGTGCTAGCGCCGGTTTTGCCAGAAGACTATTTCATTGTCTTAGGACAAGTGAACACTCCAGGCAGGCAATGGTTGGGAACCTTTTTGTTCGGCCCGGTGCATAGCTGGACTACTGCGGACCTTTTCATGCGTGCGGTACCAGTCAATTTGTGTGTCTGGGATAACGTTTGCACCATCACCGTTGGGGTCATTACATACACATGGTGGGACCGGCTCCTTCTCTATGAAGGCGCCTATGCCATTTTTGAAGAGCGAACTGTCAGGAATTTCGATTGCTCTTCTACTGAAGAAAATTCAGACATTTCAGATAGTTCATCAGAAAGTGACCACACATGGCCTGAAGAAGAAGATGAGCTCGATGCGGTGGCTTTCTTACAATACGGAGATAACACTGCAACTCCATCGATGCAATATTCTACAGAGAATGAATCTGAGTATTTTTCCAACGGTCAAAGTATGCTGGGCCCAACGCTGAGCAAGAATGCATACGAAGAAGTTGGTCATTCACGCCACATGCCTCTTCCATGGCAAGAAGCGTATGATGACCACAGTTGGATGCAAGTTAATGCTATGCATGAAGATATTGTTATGAACTACCTCCGCCAAACTGTCCCGCGGCCTTTCCATGTCGTTGTCTGGTTCCATCCTGCCGATGAGATTAGGCATGTTTGCAGGAAATATGTTCAACTGTCCCTTGAGCTTTTTTCCCCTGCCGCAGCGCAAATCCGACAAGTTTGGGCCCATGTTTATGGGAGGAGATCCAGTTTTATCTTTCCGGTGCGACCCGCACCAATGACAGCTATTGGCCGACAGCCTCATGTGATCGTTACTACTGTCCAAGGGGAGAGATATGTCCCCATTTTGTTCCAATATGTATCGGACACGGATAGATTCAGAGGCACATACATTCTGCAATCTTTGACCTTTCCTAGGGTTCATGAGATTTTTCACAAGATTGTTCCTTTGAATGGCTGTGTTTGGAATGCTGTTTGCACGATCGTTATCCCACATGACACAGGAGATGTTACATACTCGTTCGAGCAGAGCATGCCGGTGTTCGAGGGGATGTTCATGATCCTGTCAGAATTAGGATTCGATAGTGAAGAGGACAGTGGGACTTCTACATGCGATAGCTCCGGAGATGCAGACGAGTCCATCACCGATTCAGGAAGCAATGATGAGAACGGGTCTTTCGATCACGCACAGTTCGAACAACAAGAGGATCACGAAGACTCTGATGATAGCAGTATGATGCAAGTTGACTTCGAATCTGAGACAGAATTGCAAGACATGAGGTCATATGTGGATGCGTACGGACACCTTGACGGTGTTGTCCATTCTGATTCACACTACGGTGTCCTCCGCTTGAGTGACCAAATTGCTCAGACTAGGGACGTTGCGAGGATGTACCTAATCGAGCGGATGCATTTTTCTGCTGATTTGGTTTCTTCTGTCCATATTTGGATTGTCCAAGGGGTTTGCTCGCATTTCGCTCGAATCGCCATACTGCAGCCAAATTTCCCTTTGTCACAGTCAATTGTAAGAACGGTATCTGACGCAGTAGGTGACGACGAATTTGGAGTGTCAATGATTTACCCAGCGCTGCAGCCGTTGACTCTTCGATCTTTGCCGATAGATCTTGTCCTGCTTACCAAGCAACAGAGCCTCCGAAACCAGTTTATTATATTGGTTGATATAATTTTTGCTCAGTCTTTCCCCACGAGGAATGCAATCAGTTGTAACCGAGGTGATACTGGTTGGACCATAGTCGATGCACTCGGTGCACGGAGAGACTGCCATACTGGCGGCAACCATTGCGAATTTCGTATGCTCTCGGCACAGCAGGCCAGAGTTTGGAAGTTGGAACAAGTTCTTGAGGTGCCACATGCATCCAGTTTAGAGCTCCACATTATGCCCTTGATGAAGGAGGAATGTAAGGGCATGGTCAATGCTGGAGATAACACTGCAACTCCTGTTGACTATGCGGTTTTGATGCAAACAACAAGGCGGCCAATACGATCCAGATTACACCAATACCTGAGGCAGTTCTCATCGAGCCGAATGTCTGTTACCATTTGGGTTCACCAAAGGGCAGATGTACTCGTGCAGCAGCACCCAGCAATGTGTGATGTGGATTTACAATCAGAGGCAATACTACAATGCCATGACATGTGGGCGATGATCGATCCCACAGTTCGGCAGATAGTGGTTGTTGACCCTCCGCCTGTCTTGCTTGTTCTTCCTCGGCCGCATGTCATAGTATACCCGTTTTCCGATGGCCTGCAGATCCCGGTCCTATGCAGAGTTTCGGTTGATGGTAAATATAACACTGTTTCGATTCTGCTTTCAATACGTTTCCCACCGGTTAGTGTGGCCACCATTTTTGAGCTGGCCGAGCCCCAGAACGATTGCGGCAGACAGTCAGAGTGTTATTTATACTACCATGAACGCAAATACCTATTCCGGCATGATGTCCAGGTTCAGCAGGGTGACTTTCTCCGTCTATATGAGTGGACAAGGACCGAAGAGACTACCAGCACGGAATGTCTGTCAGGAGGGGTCTCAAGTTCGGATAGTGAGGCATTTTCTAACCACGACAGCAATGCTCCAGAAGACCGACCATACATGGCCTCGATTGAAAACGACATCTATGATGACGTCTTTTTGTTTCAGATGGACATGATTCAGGTCCATGGCGACGAAGAAGTCTTAGATGTAGAAAACCGAGCCTTAGCAGAACTTCGAAGAGAGACTGACTGGCGGAGACAGGCCAATGCTGTTTACCGAAGAACGCATTTGTCCAATTGGGGGATGCTCATGACTGAACTCGCTATGGCTAGCACGGTTGGTCGTCAGTACCTCCCGGTCCGGCTTTTCAGTGCAGACTATGCAGTCCGAGCTGATATCTTCCGTTTTGATCCAAGACTACAACTAGA